GCATGGGGGGCAGCATGTGTGTATGGGGCAGCATGTATGGGGGGCAGTATGTGTGTATGGGGGGGCAGTATGTGTGTGTATGGGGCAGTGTGTGTGTTGGGGCAAAATGGATGGGGGCAGTGTGCATGGGGGGGCAGCATGTGCATGGGGGCAGAAAGCAGTATGTGGGGGGGGCAGTATGTGTATGGGGGGCAGTATGTGTGTATGGGGGGCGGCGGCAGGGGTAGTATGTGTGTATGGGGCAGCATGGGGGGCAGTATGTGTGTATGGGGGCAGCATGTGTGTATGGTAGGGCATGTGTGTATGGGGGGGCGTTATTGGGGCAGTATGTGTACAAAGGGCATGGGGGGGCAGTGTGTGCATGGGGGGCAGTATGTGTGCATGGGGCAGCATGCACATGGGGGGTAGTATGTGTGTGTATGGGGGGCAGTATGTGCATGGGGGGGTAGTATGTGCATGGGGGCAGAAAGCAAGTGTGTATAGGCAGTATGTGTATAAAGGGAGCAAGGCATGGGGGGTAGTATGTGTGTATATGGGGGCAGTATGTGTGTATGGGGGGGGGTAGTATGTGTGTATGGGGGGCAGTATGTGTGTGGGTGCATGGGGGCAGTATGTGTGTATGGGGGGCAGGTGTGTATGGGAAGGTGCATGGGGGTAGTATGTGTGTATGGGGCAGCATGGGGGGTAGTATGTGTGCATGGGGGCAGCATGTATAAAGGTATGTGTGTATGGGGCAGTATGTGTATGGAAGGTATGTGTGTATGGGGGCAGCATGGGGGGTAGTATGTGTGTATGGGGGGGCAGTATGGGGGCTATGTGTGTGTGTGTGTGTGTGTGTGTGTGTGTGTTAAGGGTAGGGGGGGGCTTTTTTAATAATATATATATCTTTATTTAATAAAAAAAAAATATTCTATGTCCCCCCTCCCTTCTTACCTTTATTGAGGAGGAGGGGGGGACATATTTTCATCCCTGGTGGTCCCAGTGGTGATTCCCTGGGGGTCCCAGTGGTTACAGTGAACTCTAGCCCGCGCTCCCGGGCTAGAGTTCACTCTCGCGAGATTTGGAGCGTTGGCAACGCTCCAAATCTCGCGAGAGGAGGACCCGGAGGAGCTGCAGACTGAGCTCCCGGGTCCTCCCTCTCCCTCCCCTGCCGGCTGTCAGCACAGTGCCTGCGGACCGGGGAGGGAGAGCTCTGATCTCCCTTCCGGTCCGCAGGCACATTGCAGGGCTAGTACCTGCATGTGCTTGCAGGGGAGGGGGACCGGCGGATTTCTCGGGGGGGGCAATTGCCCCGTTGCCCCCCCCTGGATCCGCCACTGCCATGTACAGGTTTTATGATGTCTCGGAAAGTTATAGGGTTAAATATAGTGCTAGCAAATTAAATTCCCTTTACTTTTGGCATGGGTTGTCAGGCAGGTCCTGCTAATTGTAATGAATTAAGATACCTAATTATGTAAAAATATTACATAAATATATATGTAGAATTAATATATGTGTATATATATATATATACGTATGTGTATATATCTATATAATTTTTTTTAAATATTTTTATTTATATATATATATATATAGTGATATATACGTATATATTTATGTATATAGATATATATATTTTGTTCTACGTGTATTTTGATATATATATATATTAATTTCACAATACCGTTAGAACGAAATAACACACATCTATATATTTTTTTATTTTTTTTATTATTTTTTTAATTTTATTTTTTAACATATTTACATTTTTATTTTTTATATTATATATAAATATATATATAACAATAATTATATATATATATATATATATAGATATTTAATCAGTAACAGTCTACGTGTAATTTGATATTAATATATATATATATATATATATTATATATATATATATATATATATATATATATATTAATAGTAAAATACACCTAGACGGTGTACATGTGTGTATGTATATGTGTATATATATATATACTTAGATCATATATATATAATATATATATATGATCGATATATATTATTTTTTACTTTTATTTTCAGCCAGCAGGGGGACCACCTGTCATTACAGGCAGCCCCCCTGCTGGCAATACAGAAGCCAGCTATCCCGGCCATGTGATTGTGGGGTCCTCGCAAGGACCCCACTCTCACATGGCCGGGGGGCTTCGTGGAGGACGGACGTGCCGCGGGGTGCTCCCTGGGAGTCCCCCCCACCGCGATCGCCGGCGTGGGACCGCCGGCGACCGGGTAAGTACCGAAAGACTGGAGGGCGTACCATTACACCCGGCGGCGTTTAGAGCCGCCTATAATAGGGCGTAATAGTACGCCCTCCGGTCTGAAGGGGTTAAATACTTGGCTTTGTGAACCATTTATTTATTTATTTATCCTTCGCTACACGAATTCCAGGAATTATTTATTACGTTTGTATGGGGGAGGCGTTGACCCAGAACTTCTTCCTCAAATTTGTCCCGCAAATTAAAAGATGGGGGATCATCCCTCCCCGATGTATACTTGATTTATGACTCCATAATGCTATCCCATTTGATTAAATGGAAATATAGGGTCTCAGAACATTTTTTATGGTTAGGTTATGAATAGAGTTGAGCAAACCCAAACTCAAAAGTTCGGGTTCGTAACGAACATTAAGTTTTTTGGACCCCAGACCCGAACACAGACATATCACTGTATGTTCGGGTTGGAGTTCAGTGTTCGGCGATTTAATGGCGCGTTTTCAAAGGCTGCAGGCAGCCAATCAACAAGCATTTGACTTGTGTGCCCTTAGAAGCCATCAGGCATGTCTGTGATTGGCCATTGCAGCATGTGACCCAGACTCTATATTTAAGCTGGAGTCGCGTAGCGCCGCACGCACATGAGCTCTTATTAGCGTAGGGAGAGAATGCTGCCGCTGATAGGGACAGCTTAGGAAAGAATTCTGCCAACTAGTACATTAGTGGGGTGGGGTGCACTTCATATTTGAGAGTCAAATAGAAGCGTCAAATACTGCTGTCACATTGCAGTTTTTAAAAGTCATTTTATTTTGGTGCTAAATAGTACATTAGTGGGGTGCACTTCATATCTGAGAGTCAAATAGAAGCGTCAAATACTGCGCTTACAGCGCAGTTGTAAACATTCTAATTATTTTGGTGCTAAACTGCTAAATAGTACATTTTGGGGGTGCTCTTCATATCTGAGAGTCAAATAGAAGCGTCTAATAGTGCGCTTACTGCGCAGTTGTAAATATTCTTACTTTCTGGGTGCTAATCTGCTAAATAGTACATTTTGGGGCCTGCTCTTCATATCTGAGAGTCAAATAGAAGGGTCTAACAGTGCGCTTACTGCGCAGTTGTAAAAATTCTAATTGTTTTGCTGCTAATCTGCTAAATAGTACATTTGCGGCCTACACTTCATATCTGAGAGTCAAAAAGAAGCGTCTAACAGAGCGCTTAGAGCGCAGTTGTAAGCATTCTTGTTGTTTTGGTGCTAAACTGCTAAATAGTCATTTTGGGGTGTGCCCTTTATTTCTGAGAGTCAAATCGAAGCGTCTAATAGTGCGCTTACTGTGCAGTTGTAAAAATTCTTATTTTCTGGGTGCTAAACTGCTAAATAGTACATTTTGGGGTGTGCACTTCATATCTGAGAGTCAAATCGAAGCGTCTAATAGTGCACTTACTGCGCAGTTGTAAAAATTCTTATTTTCTGGGTGCTAAACTGCTAAATAGTATATTTGCGGCCTGCACTTCATATCTGAGAGTCAAATCGAAGCGTAACTTTGATTCAAATTTACTGCATCGGTCACTTGTAATATTGTTTCACATTGTTTCAACACTTGTTACACAGATCTAAGTAATAGAAAACAGATTGATATTTTCTACACTAGAAACTACCAGATAACAAGCTGCTATATTTAAACCAGTTATCAATAGCTAAGAGGTACTTAAACAATATTGTAATTCTGGGACAATACCTTCACAAGTCAAACTGAGAGGTCAGTTTATATGGAAAACTGTTGCCTGGATACAATTCTAAAACAATTTCCATATGTCCTTTGCAGACTTTACATGCTGGAAAAACACAGGTGCTAACTGCTGTGGCTTTCTGCAGTGTGCATACCGGCAAGGAGGGCAGGGTTGAGGAGTGGGTGGAAGATGATGTGGAGGATGATGAGGTCATAGACCCCACATGGAATCAAGGTCATGCAAGTGACATGTGCAGTTTGGAGGAAGAGGCGCTGGTCGCACAGAGGCACCAGCACAGCAAAAGAGGGAGCAGGGTGCAAAAGCGGAGCAGCCGCCCCCTAGCGCTCGTCGGCATGTATTAGCTTGAGAATTACCAGTTATCCAAGTAATACATGTAGCGATCAAAGGATCCATAATAGAGTTGAGCGAACCCGAACTGCAAAGTTCGGGTTTGTACCAGATTTAACAATCCATTCGTAGTTTCACAGTCAGATGGGCAGTCCGGTGACCGGGACCCAGACACTGTCTGGCGGCGGTCGGACGACCAGGACCTGGTATGCCTGATGTTGAAATTAGGAGTCACAGTGTGGAATTGATTAGCAGGGTCTGGTGCAGGGTAACTGCACGCCCCCTGGTGTTGAGCACCAGCATTTGTGCGGCCACATTCCAGGACCCGGATGCAGCTTCAGTAAAAAGAGAACTGGATACCAGAAGCCATCACCAGACTGATCCGCAACTTGGAACAGGATGTGACATTCACTGTAGAGGCTGTGCGCGCTTTCGGCGTTCTCACCCTGCTGCTGCTCACCTGTCTGCGCTGCAGTGTAAGTTTGGCTTTCCTGCTCACTGCCTCATATGTGACGAAGGAACTCCACCTTTCACATGCTGGAGAGACTGTTTGAGCAGCAGCAGGCGATAGTGGAGTTTCAGCTGCAGCACGCATGGGTCAGTGGCTCTGCACAAGACTTCCCTCACATTGATCAGAGTTAAAGGATTTCAGGTGGACTCATTACAATTACAGGGCCTCTAAATAGTCCTGTATTGTTATTTGTCGTCACTACCTTCCCGCTTCGGGAGTGGGTCATTTGCGCGCCTGCTGCCTTAATTGAATGTGGTAGCCGTTTCTCAGGGTCCCTGTACGGAATGGAACCCTGATTCCCCATTACCCGTGGTCACCATGGTAGGCACAGAAACTGGCATCGAATGTTGACATGGATGACATCCGAATGCAAAGTCGCCGTCACAGGGATGTGCGATTAGCCCGAGGTTCTCTAGAGTCAACAAAGTGCCTGCGCAACTAAAATGTCAACAGCTACTCTTCAGTACCGAGTAGTTTTTTTTATATGTCCCATTATTTTGGGGGCTACCCCAGTTATAAAATATACACACACATATATATATATATATATATATATATATAAACTGTGTTGGCTACCTCCTCCACCGCTGCTTCCATCAACACCGTCACGGTAACCGCCTCTTCAACCTATGGGTCACTTAGTATAAACTATGTACACATTAGCAGAGGCTTGTGAAGGCCTTTTCTCCATGCATCAGGAGTTGAGCATTTCTCCATGCATCAAGACTGCAAGAAATGCCCTGCAGGCCGCAAATGTTTCTTTTTTTTATGTCCCAATATTTTGGGGGCTACCCCAATTAAAAAAAAATATATATATATATATATATATATATATATATATATTTGTGTTAAGGGCTCATGATAGTACAGAAGATACCAACACTGATAAGTATGGGATAGTGTGAAAGAGCAAGTCGGTTGTGGTGTGCCGGAACCGACGATGAGGTAGGCCTGTAAATAAAGAGGGCCCACCAATAAGAAATGTATGAGAAAAAGGAGTTAATAAAAGAGGAGTGGGTGGGAGGGTGATGCAGCGCTGACCTCGAACGGTATGGAGCCAGGTAAGGGGTGTCCCTTAAGTAGGGAGAAGGTGAGTCATACGCCCCTCCCACAATTACAGGCCAAAGGCCTTAATACTTGTGTTAAGGGCTCATGATAGTACAGAAGATACCAACACTGATAAGTATGGGATAGTGTGAAAGAGCAAGTCGGTTGTGGTGTGCCGGAACCGACGATGAGGTAGGCCTGTAAATAAAGAGGGCAAAAAGTAGAAAATATACTTTATTACGAAACGAGCAGTATACATACTTTAACCAGACATATCTTGAAAGGCATTTCTAACTTCTTGTACCGGGTTAGGTATGTATCTAGAGTATGCAGAAGACTTCCAGCGCCCTAGTGACTTGATAACATGTACTGGAATGTTTGCACTGGACGCTGTGGAGGCCGCCCCTATGCGGAAGGAGTGGCCCGAATAGTTAGCTGATTTTAGGCCTAGTTGTGTAAGTAGGGACCTGACGTGGGTCATGAAGGTGGTGGTAGTGAGTACCGAACCTTGTAGACAGAAAAGTGGTTGAGATGGTGATGCCTTGAAATGCTGAGTATAGGTGTCCAGTAATGTGACGGGGCACCACACGTTGTGGGTAGGATAGTATCTAACCTCTACCGGGTGTGCGTGTTGATTGGTTTTGGAGTGATGCAGAGTTAAAATATAGTAATCCATGTGTTTCGTTAAGTGTGAATGAAGCAGAATGTGAGTGGACTGGGATGTGTTGATGGCGGTAAATTCTCTTGGTCTCAAGAAACCATAAAAAGCTACGTATATGGCGGTTTTTATAACAAGGTTTGTGTTGTTCGCAAAGGGTTTTGAATCTAGTAGGCTGGATAAATCCTTGAAGATATTGAAGTCTATAGGTAGCCTTTGCGCGGTACGTGGGGGTTCGGATCTCTGGATACCTCTAAGGATGTTTTTTATCTGGTAGGAGGACATGAAACTTGTGTTGTTTGGTTGTAATGTTAGCATGTGATGTTGTATGCCTGTTAGATATAGCTTGATTGTGTTGTAAGATAATTTAAGTTTAAGGTGGCAAAAAGAAGCAAAACCTAACAAAGATGTCATGATGAAAGGTTGTGTGACGTTGTGTAGTGACAGGAATCTTTTAAATAGAAGGAAAGCCCTGTCATATGTTCTCCAGGTATTGGTGGACAGTGCTAATTGTGCCAATGTCCTGCTATGTTGCATAATAGCTTCTAGTCCATGACTAGCTGGTGGAAAGGTGGAGTGGTCGTGGCTGTACGTGCGGCTGACGGAAGTATTTGCCGAAAAGCCTGAAAATTGAAACGAGACAAATTGTCAGCAGCCGTGTTACAAACACCTGGGACATGGACACAAAACAAGAAGAAGTTATGGCATGCAGCCAGCCAGGTGAGTTTCCTCAAGAACCTCATAATGGTCAGTGACTTGGATCGGCCTTTGTTTATGATGTGGCAGGTAGCTTGGTTGTCTGAGTGGCAACGTACTGACGAACCTGCCCATAGATGCCCCCATGTCACGGCAGCTGCCACAATGGGATACATCTCAAATAGAGCTGAGGTAGTGGAAAAACCTTCCAGGTCCTGTACCTCTGGAGGCCAGCTACCCCAAAGCCATTCATTCCCGTAAATTGCTGCAAAACCTGTGGTAGACGCCGCGTCTGACCAGATGGTAGGTGAGGAGTCAGACAATTTAGGGAGAAACATGCTTTTCCCATTCCAGGTGGTCAAAAAGTTTCTCCACATAAGTAGGTCTGCCGTGGCTTGGGTATCCAGTGGTAACCTGTGTGCATCATGTCTAAACAGTGGGAACATGGTTAGGAGCCGTGAGATGAAAGCCCGGCCTTGAGGTATAATGCGCATGGCAAAGTTCAGTGACCCAAGTAGAGACTGCAATTCTTTGCGATTGCAAGTACCGAGGTGTATGTAGAGGTTAATGTTGGTGAGAATGTTCTCTATCTTGGTGCGTGGCAGGCTGGCTTGCATGGTGGCTGAGTCTAGTATGATTCCCAGAAAGGTGATGACTGTATCTGGTCCTTCAGTTTTGGTGGGGGAGACTGGAACACCCACCTGTTTAAAAAGACTGATGGTTTCTATGAGGCTACTGGGAGGGGAAATGTTCTCTTCGATCAGTAAGAAATCATCCAGGTAGTGTATAACTGTAGGGCATCTGGCTACATTTAATAATAACCAGCATAATGTTTCGGCGAATACGTCGAAAATGGCCGGACTACTTTTTGAACCAAACGTTAGGCGTGAGAAAAAGTAGTAGTGCCCGGCCCACTTAATGCCATGCAGGTGCCATAGTGTAGGGTGGATAGGCAATAATTTGAAGGCATTTGTAATGTCAGTCTTGCTGAGCCATGCTCCGACCCCTGCCTGCATGATAGCTGTAATGGCGTGATCTATGGTGGAGTATTGAAGTGAAAATTCCTCAGAGGGGATAAGGGAGTTCAGACTAGGTGAGGCAGAGGTGTGAGGTGCAGACAGATCGATGATAAGTCTTTGTTTGTGAGAAGATTTCCCTGTGACAATACCGATGGGGTTTGTCCGCCATGTGGAAAAAGGAGAGGACTGGAAGGGTCCCAATAGGAAGCCCTCTGCCACTTCTTTGGCTATGAGTGTGCTGACCCGCTGTAGGGTTTTGTTGTGCAGATTGTAAATTAGGACATTCAAGGATTCCTGAAGGCATGTGTATGAGACCAGTATGGAATCCTTGTGATAGACCAGTGATGATGAAGTCTACCAAATGTCTAGATGGATGTTGTGACAGTAATGCCGTGAGTACAGAAATATTTATCTCAGTTAAGTATTGCTTAGGGTACATTTTATTTGGACACATGGTTTTCGCATGTGCCCTAAAACATTTTGAACATATATGCAATAACCGACAACCGCTGTAATTACATGCACCGACATTGAAATTATTACATATTTGGGACTTCCCCAAAAACTTGATAGGTCGACCCAGTTTGTCTTTGGGTGTTCTCTCTGCTGACACAGCGGAGCTAGTGCCCTGCGAGGTGGTAGGTTCGTTCGCAGTGGTCGGACAAAATTGGCAGTATGAGCCATGGAGGAGCAGTGTGCACAGGCCGGTGCTCTTAGACCTGCAAAGTGCCTGCAAAAAATGATCGTATCAATCTTACTCCAGTTGGACCTTGTCCCGTACTGTGAGAAGGCGCCAGACACTTTGGCAGAAAAAGATCTATGGTAGTCATAGAAAGCTGACCCACCATATTTGTTGCCCAGATCAACCAGCCTGTGCATATATAAGTCAAACTCCTCACGTCTGTGGGGATATACCGTACAGACCACATCCCGATAAATGCCAAAAGCTAATACAAATTCAGGAATGGTTAGCTTCCTATTTAATCGTGCATCCCTGGATTTGACCACCACAGAAATATCGTCATAAGCGTAGGTCTTATGTTCCACTATATCCTGGGAGGCAATTAGTAGTGAGGCCAGATTGACATCTTTACCTTCCAGGATATCTCTCCTGAGGTGCTCAGGAATCATGTGGGCAGGGTAAACTTCTTGGTCATCCGAGGTGATAGCTGGAGAAACTGATTGCGACTCCACCACTGATGGGGGAATTGCCGTGGCCGGTCCAGCCATAGTGAGGGCTGTAGTGACCGATTCAAGTTTCTCCAGCCTAGAATTGACCTTGCTCATGGATGTCATGAGGGACGTGAGCATGTCATGTATGTTCCCTGGGTGGGACTGGCTCGACCCTTCCCCAGTGTCCATGTTATCAGTTGAGGTGTGTAATAATTTGTAAAGTTCCGCTTTCCTTGCTGTTGCTGGAAAAGGGATTTGTCGTCTCCTGAGTTCGCTAGTGATACGAGGGATAGTCCATGATCTGAAAGATGCTGGACTAGCCGTATCTTCCTCCTGTGATGGGGTGTTGGTTCTAGCCGGAGTCCTTGGGATGGAGAAATCCTCTACCCCTTCTTGAGACATACTAGATTACAAAGTATATGGTTAGCATAAAACCCCCCGAGGGGATGTACTGGCAGGCTAATTATGCCGGATGAGGCGAAAAAATTAAAACTTGTTCTTTGGTGACAGGTGAGGCCCTGCTAGTTGCCAAGTGGCTATGAGAGGCTCTATCTATGCGTTGGCGCGAGGGGTTATTGAGGCCACCCGACGTAGTGGCAGGAATTCGTAGGCCTCTCGGTGACAATACAAGAAAACAGGGGAAGGGAGTGACAGGTGGCACCCTCTCTATAATGCGAGGCGGCTAACTCACGTGTGGCCCGGGGGGCATTACCTCCGAAACGTTGAGGCGGGGTGTTGGCCTCGCGGACCACTAAACGATAGGCAGAATGCCCGGAGGGGGGATACCTATTTGGGCCTATAACCCCTAAAATTGCCAGTACTCTATGTCCTAAGTAGAGGAGGAACCATATGTGATGTATGGCGTGAGCAGGCTTAACGTACCTGGTAGTATGTATGCGTTTGATAAGCGATAGGTAGAGAAAAACTGGAAAACCTAAAGGGATAGAAAAACCAAATATGATAGTGTGAGAATTGGATCCTATGATACC